TAATGGATTTAATGGTGCTCCGTGGGATGTTAATGCCAAGAGTGTGCAAAGCTGTCATCAAGGCAAAGGGTGGCTACTTTGAAGAATCTCAAATATATATAAAATATATTTTGATTTGTTTAAACACATTTTTGGTTACTACATGATTCCATATGTGTTATTTCATAGTTTTGATGTCTTCACTATTATTCTGCAATGTAGAAAATAGTAAAAAAAATAAAGAAAAACCCTGGAATGAGTAGGTGTGTCCAAACTGTTGACTGGTAGTGTATATGTGGGTATGGGTGTGTATTTATATATTTACAGAAACTATATATGGGGGATTGGAAATGATGCAGACAATTACATTGATGCTACAATCTATCTTCAATATTAAAGCTGATCTACTAAGAATAAAATAATAACATAAATAATAACATTAATAATCATCCTAAAGTTACAAGTATAAGACAGCAAATTTGATTTTAATTGTGAAATATAACTAAGGTATGTAAATATAATAGGGCCTATTTGTATAATTAGTGGGCTGACTCATATACACCTTTGATAATATTTCCCCTAATGTTATTATCCTACCTCCTCTCTCTCTCTCTCTATTGTTGCTTCAGTCCTTCCTCGCTTTCAACAGTTAAATACGTTTTGTTGTCCTTATCTTCATCATTGTAATGTCATCCTTGAATTATATAGGACTAGAATTAGATGCAGAAGGCTTTCACTTCTCTTAACGAAGATTGAATGGTTATGGGTCTGAATAAATAACTGCTTGCTTACCCCCACGTTCGCTCTTCTTTCAAACTACCCGTGAGTTCTATTGGATGCTGTATTTAACGTTTTCGAAAGAGGTAGACTAGGACATCTATATATATATATATATATATATATATATATATATATATATATATATATATATAGGCCTATATCTAGAACAGGATCTAGAACAAGATTATCTATTTTAGAGTTGATGGAGAGAGAGAAAGACTGTGAGAGAGTGAACAAAGTTGACTACAAATAAAGTTGCCAAATGTCTTTGTAATTGATACAAACAAGATGCTTCAAATGAAAACCGAGATGACTGCATTAAAAATATAAACAGTAGGCTATAGGCCAATTACAATCATATTGAAATACATTTGATGTTAAAAATCTATTGAGTTCTATTTTGCTACTTGTAGGCTACTGTGCAATTTGTCTCATGAGGTGAATAATGACATGTCAAATCTGTGATTTAGTCCATTATTGGCTAAGCGTTAGAATCAGCCGTCTCAACATTTGCAGGAGCTGATCCATCAATAGAAATAATTATAAAATGTTAAAGGAAATACTTGAATGGACAAAGCTGATCCGAGAGCAGCTCAGATCCCATCAGTACCGACAGAGTGCTCGTGGGGTGTCCTGATTAAAAGCAACAATATTCGACTGATATTCGCTGCAGCTGCAATTTAAAAAAACAAATCTTTACAATAAAAAAATAAGGTTACACCCGAAAGCCAGATTGAGCCATGATGAGATGATAGGTCTACATGCATTGTTACTATGATGAGATGATAGGTCTACATGCATTGTTACCATGATGAGATGACAGGTCTACATGCATTGTTACCATGATGAGATGATAGGTCTACATGCATTGTTACCATGATGAGATGATAGGTCTACATGCATTGTTACCATGATGAGATGATAGGTCTACATGCATTGTTACCATGATGAGATGATAGGTCTACATGCATTGTTACCATGATGAGATGATAGGTCTACATGCATTGTTACCATGGTGAGATGATAGGTCTACATGCATTGTTACCATGGTGAGATGATAGGTCTACATGCATTGTGAACTGCTCTCCATACTGAGATGGGCTGTCTGTCTCCACCCTGAGCATTGATTCATCATGCAGAGGCCGTAGAGAAGACAGATTTAGACATTGCATATAATTTAACAGTTCCGTTTCACGCCATGCTGTTAATGTAAAAGACACATGGGTGGCGCACAATTGGTCCAGCGTCGTCCAAGGTATGGGAGGGTTTGGCCGGCAGGGATGTGGGTTCGTTTCCCACAGGGGGCCAGTATAAAAAAAAAAAAAAAACATGTATGCATTCACTAACTGTAAGTGGCTCTGGATAAGAGCGTCTGCTAAATGACTGAAATGTAAATGTAAATAATTTATTATAATTTACTGGTCATCTATCCCGGGAAAGGGGAGTGGTTTAGTTAAATCCCGGTCAATCTTGGTAACCGGGTTCCCGCCATTCAACCCTAGCCCGAACAGATCCACAGATGACGCAATCCCAATCGCACTCCACACTGCCCTTTCCCACCTGGACAAAAGGAACACCTACGTGAGAATGCTGTTCATTGACTACAGCTCAGCGTTCAACACCATAGTGTCCTCCAAGCTCATCACTAAGCTAAGGACCCTGGGACTGAACACGTCCGTCTGCAACTGGATCCTGGTCATCCTGACGGGCCGCCCCCAGGTGGTGAGGGTAGGTAACAACACATCCGCCACGCTGACCCTCAACACGGGGGCCCCTCAGGGGTGCGTGCTCAGTCCCCTCCTGTACTCCCTGTTCACCCACGACTTTGTGGTTGCGCACAACTCCAACACCATCATTAAGTTTGCCGACGACACAACGGTGGTAGGCCTGATCACCAACGAAGACGAGACAGCCTACAGGAAGGAGGTCAGAGACCTGGCCGTGTGGTGCCAGGACAACAACCTCTCCCTCAACGTCAGCACAACAAAGGAGCTGATCGTGGACTAGAGGAAACGGAGGGCCGAGCATGGCCCCATCCACATCACTAAGGAATTAACATGGTCCACACACACCCACACAGTTGTGAAGAGGGCACGACAACGCCTCTACTCCCTCAGGAGGCTGAAAGGATTTGGCATGGGCCCCTCAGATCCTCATAAAGTTCTACAGCTGCACCATCGAGAGCATCTTGACTGGCTGCATCCCTGCCATCCAGGAGCTCTATACCAGGCGGCGTCAGAGGAAGGCCCTAAAAATGGTCAAAGACTCCAGCCACCCAAGTCATAAACCGCTCTCTCTGCTACCGCACGGCAAGCGGTACCGATGCACCAAGTCTGGAACCAACAGGACCCTGAACAGCTTCTACCCCCAAGCCATAAGACTGCTACATAGTTAAATAGTTAATCAATAGCTGCCCGGACTATCTGCACTGACCCTTTTTGCACTAACTCTTTTGACTCATCACATACGCTGCTGTTACTGTTTATTATCAGTACCTTTTATTCCTAGTTATATGTACATATCTACCTCAATGACCTCGTACCCCTGCACATGGACTCGGTACTGGTACTCCCTGTATATTACCATGCTATAGTTACTCAATGTATATTTATTCCTTGTGTTATAATTTTTCTAATTTGTTTAATAATTTTTTTTGGCATTTTGGGGTAAATTAGCATTTCACCGTTACTCTACACCTGTTGTTTACGCATGTGATAAATTACATTGATGTGTCTGGGTGGTTTAATACGTCCCCCACAGGATAATTATTAACTTGACCACGCTTAAAGAGATATTCAATGTCTGATTTTGTTATTGTTACCCATCTACCAATCGCTGCCCTTCTTTTATGAGGCTTTCAAAAAGCTCCCTGGTCTTTGTAGTTGAGTCTGTGCTTTAAATTCAATACTTGACTGAGGGACCTTACAGATGTTGTATGTATGGGAGACAGAGGAAGGGTTAGTCATTAAAACATAATGTAAACCCCAATTAAATGGATTTTAATCCCACTTTGTAACACAATAACGTGAAGAAATCCAAGGGGTCTGAATACTTTTGCAAGATGCTGTAATGTAGGGAATAGGGTTGAAAAGCAGTACACTAGAGATAATAGGGTACTATTTGTGACTCACCCTAGAGCTGTAAGGTGTACTCAAGACACCTGGCTTGAGTGACAGGTAGTCATCAGGGGCTTGGTCGCCGTAGTGATAGTTGCCGTCGGTGATGGCCGGGGGCGGTGACGGGAAGTCTACGCTTAACGTCTTGTTAACTGTCTGTACTGCCTTAGAGCTGAACCTACTGGGGACTACACACACAGTATAGTTATATACACACACACACACACACACACACACACACACACACACACACACAGTATAGTTATATACACACACACACACACACACACACACACACACACGCACACACACACACAGTATAGTTATATACACACACACACACACACACACACACACACACACGCACACACACACACAGTATAGTTTATACACACACACACACACACACACACACACACACACACACACACACACACACACAGTATAGTTATATACACCACACACACACACACACACACACACACACACACAGTATAGTTATACACACACACACAGTATAGTTATATACACACACACACACACCACACACACACACACACACACACACACACACACACACACACACACACAGTATAGTTACACACACACACACACACACACACACGCTCACACTCTCACGCACACACACACACACACACAGTATAGTTATACACACACACACACGCTCTCACGCACGCACACACGCACACACACACACCCACACACACACAGAGAGAGAGCAGTAGGGTGTAACCAAACGTTTATTCTCTCTAACTAAGTGGATTATTTATCTTTAGGCTGCCCTACTGGTATATATAAATATATAAAAAATATATAACTTTTTCTAAATGACAAATTATTAGATACATTTACCTCAATAGTTGGAGTGACTTCAAAAGTTGAGACAGATGATATTTTTAGTTGAGCAGGACTAGTGGCATCCTGGGAAAGTGTTTATTTTTTGGGGGTGTTTCCCGCCAAGCAACCCTACCTTTCCTCTTTGTGGTCAGGAGGGGGGCGTTGACCCCTGGGGCTGTTTCACGCCAAGCAACCACTATCCATTTTTGGTTAGGAGGCAGGGCAGTGACACCCTGGGGACTTGGTTTCAGCCAAGCAACCCTACCTTTCCTCTTTGTGGTGGTATGTTCTGGGCGACGGTTTAACAACGTTGGCATAGATGTTCTCGTCCAGATCCCTATCCTTTCCTACACAGTTAGAGTTGAGGCTTTTCAGAAGCAACTACATTTTTGTTGTGTATGTGCTCTGGGTGTGTTTGGGGTGTGTGTGTGCATAGATGTTGTCCTCTGTGTGTGTGTTGCTTCCTGTGGTGTTTGGTACTGTTCAGTGTTGTGGTTGATGTGTTGTTGCCTGTGTGTGTGTGTGTGTGTGTGTGTGTTGTGTGTCTGTGTCGTGTGTGTGTGTGTGTATGTGTCTGTCTCGTGTGTGTGTGTGTGTGTGTTGTGTGTGTGTGTTGTCTCCGTGTGTGTGTGTGTGTGTGTGTGTCTGTCTTGTGTGTGGTGTGTCTGTCTCCGTGTGTGTGTGGTGTGTATGTGTGCTGTCTCCGTGTGGGGTGTGTGTGTGTGTGTGTGTGTGTGTGTGGTGTGTCTGTTCCGTGTTGTGTGTGGTGTATGTGTCTGTCTACGTGTGTGTGTGTGTGTGTGTGTGTGTGTGTGTGTTGTCTCGTGTGTGTGTGTGTGTGTGTGTGTTGTTCGTGTGTGTGTGTGTGGTGTGTGTGTTGTGTGTGTGTGTGGTGTGTTGTGTGTTCCGTGGTGTGGTGTGTGTGTGTGTGTGTGTGTGTGTGCTGTCTCCGTGTGTGTGTGTGTGTGTGTGGTGTGTGTGTGTGTGGTTGTTGTTGTGTGTGTGTGTGTGTGTGTGGTGCTCGTGTGTGTGTGTGTGTGTGTGTGTGTGTGTGTGTGTGTGTGGTGTGTGTGTGTGTGTGTGTGTCTGTCCGTGTGTGTGTGTGTGTGTGTGTGTGTGTGTGTGTGTGTGTGTGTGTGTGTGTGTGTGTGTGTGTGTGTGTGTGTGTGTGTGTGTGTGTATGTGTGTGTGTGTGTGTCTCTTTCTCCAAGTTCAGTTTGTCTATTCGGCATGTTGACTCTTTCCACATTTTGTAACGTTTCAGCCTTATTCTAAAATGGATTAAATACAAAATGTTCCTCATCAATATCCCATAATGACAAAGTGAAAACAGGTTTTTAGAATTTTTTACTAATTGATTACAAATAAAAAACAGAAATACCTTATTTCCATAAGTATTCAGACCCTTTGGTATGAGACTCGAAATTGAGCTCAGGTGCATCCTGTTTCCATTGATAATCAATGTGGTAAATTGAATTGATTGGACATGATTTGGAAAGGCACACACCTGTCTATATAAGGTCCCACAGTTGACAGTGCATGTCAGAACAACAACCAAGCCATGAGGTCGAAGGAATTTACCGTAGAGCACCGAGACAGGATTGTGTCGAGGCACAGATCTGGGGAAGGGTACCAAAACATTTCTGCAGCACTGAAGGCTCCCAAGAACACAGTGGCCTCCAAATGGAAGAAGTTTGGAACCACCAAGACTCTTCCTAGAGCTGGCCGCCCGGCCAAACTGAGCAATCGGGGGAGAAGGGCCTTGGTCAGGGAGGTGAACAAGAACCCGATGGTCACTCTGACAGAGCTCCAGAGTTCCTCTGTGGAGATGGGAGAACCTTCCAGAAGGACAACCATATTTGCAGCACTCCACCAATCAGGCCTTTATGGTAGAGTGGCAAGATGGAAGCCACTCCTCAGTAAAAGGCACATGACAGCCCATTTGGAGTTTGCCAAAAGGCACCTAAAGGACTCTCAGACCATGAGAAACAAGATTCTCAGGTCTGATGAAACCAAGATTGAACTCTTTGGCCTGAATGCCAAGTGTCACTTCTGGAGGAAACCTGGCACCATCCCTACGGTGAAGCATGGTGGTGGCAGCATCATGCTGTGGGGATATTTTTCAGCGGCAGGGACTGGGAGACTAGTCAGGATCGAGGGAAAGATGAACGGAGCAAAGTACAGACAGATCCTTGATGAAAACCTGCTCCAGAGTGCTCAGCACCTCAGACTGGGGTGAAGGTTCACCTTCCAACAGGACAACGACCCTAAGCACACAGCCAAGACAACGCAGGAGTGGCTTCGGGACAAGTCTCTGAATATCCTTGAGTGGCCCAGCCAGAGCCGGGACTTGAACATCTCTGGATAGACCTGAAAATAGCTGTGCAGCGACGCTCCCCATCCAACCTGACAGAGCTTGAGAGGATCTGCAGAGAAGAACGGGAGAAACTCCCAAATACAGGTGTGCCAAGCTTGTAGCGTCATAACCAAGAAGACCGAGGCTGTAATCGCTGCCAACGGTGCTTCAACAAAGTACTGAGTAAAGGGTCTGAATACTTATGTCAATGTGATATTGCAGTTTTTTTTTTTTTTATACATTTGCAAACATCTCTTAAAACCAGTTTTTGCATTGTCAATGTCGGACATTGTTTGTAGATTGATGAGGGAAAAAAACAATTTAATCAATTTTAGAATAAGGCTGTAACGTATCAAAATGTGGAAAACGTCAAGGGGTCTGAATACTTTCAGAACGCACTGTACCAGTGATATACAATACATGGAGTATACAGGTCAATGATCTTCTATAACGCAACGTACAGTCTGTCTGTCTGTCTGTCTGTGTGTGTGTGTGTGTGTGTGTGTGCCTTCGTGTGTGTGTGTGTGTGTGTGTGCCTTTGTGTGTGTGTGTGTGTGTGTGTGTGTGTGTGTGTGTGTGTGTGTGTGTGTGCCTTCGTGTGTGTGTGTGTGTGTGTGTGTGTGTGTGTGTGTGTACCTTGAGTTTGTTGCTGAGTCGTTCCACCTCCCCCTGTAGGACTGAGACCTGGTCCTGGGTACTGATGGTCTTCCTCCTCTCTGTGGCCAACTGTCTCTGGTAACTGCTGCTGCTCAGTTCCACTCTGCGCTCCAGATCCTACAAACACACACTCACACCAATGTGCAAAGCTGTCATCAAGGCAAAGGGTGGCTATTTGAAGAATCTCAAATATAAAATAGATTTTTATTTGTTTGACACTTTTTTGGTTACTACATGGCTCCATATGTGTTATTTCATAGTTTTGATGTCTTCACTATTATTTTACAATGTAGAAAATAGTAAAAATAAAGAAAAACCCTGGAATGAGTAGGTGTGTCCAAACTTTTGACTGGTACTGTATATACAGTGCCTTGCAAAAGTATTCACCCCTCTTGGTGTTTTTCCTATTTTATTGCATTACAACCTGTAATTTAAATTGATTTTTATTTGGATTTTTTATTTGGACTTTTATTTGGATTTCATGTAAAGGACATCCACAACATAGTCCAAATTGGTGAAGTGAAATATATATATATATAATATTTTAATAGCAGGACACTGTAAAGTCCATTATCCCTCTGAAGAGTATGAATTAGGCTGTTTGAGAAGGTTTGAATCTCAAGCAACATTGTTTGAAGTACAACAGACCAACATACACCTTGCAAAAGTATTCAGACCACTTGGATTTCTTCACATTTTAGAGTGTCACAAGGTGGGATTAAAATGGATTGAATTGTCATTTTTTTGTCAACAATAAGTCACGTCGAAGTTAGACTAATACAAATTAAATAACTAAAATATAGTCGTTGCATAAGTATTCAGCTTCCCTGAATACGGGTTAGAAACCCCTTTGACATCGATTACAGCTGTGAGTCTTCTTGGGTAAGTCTCTAAGAGATTTCCACACCTGGAATGTGCAACATCTGCCCATTATTCTTTTCATGATGTTTGCTGTTGTTTAACCTGGCTACTTTTTACTTGGATGGCGACTTCCCTGATTTGGGAATACATTGAAAAGTAATTTGACACTGAGTTAATCAGTCAGCGCAAATGTGGATTATAATGAAAAGGAAAAAAATTGATTGACATAGGAGGGAGCGTACTGAATGAATGAGTAAGGTAAGGGCTGTAACGTTAGCTAGCTACACTGAACAAAAATATAAACGCAACACGCAACAATTTCAAAGATTTTATAAGGAAATCAGTCAACTGAAATAAATTCATTAGGCCCTAATCTATGGATTTCACATGACTGGGAATATAAATATGCACCTGTTGTTCATAGACACCTTCAAAAGAAAAAAAGGTAGGGCCGTGGATCAGAAAGCCAGTCAGTATCTGGTGTGACCATTTGCCTCATGCAGCGCGACACATCTCCTTCGCATAGAGTTGATCCGGCTGTTGATTGTGGCCTGTGGAATGTTGTCCCACTCCTCTTCAATGGCTGTGCGAAGCTACTGGATATTGACGGGAACTAGAACACGCTGTCGCACACGTTGATCCAGAGCAACCCAAACATGCTCAATGGGTGACATGTCTGGTGAGTATGCAGGCCATGGATGAACTGGGACATTTTCAGCTTCCAGGAATTGTGTACAGATCCTTGCGACATGGGGCTGTGCATTATCATGCTGAAACATGAGGTGATGGCGGCGGATGAATGGCACGACAATGGGCCTCAGGATCTCATCATGGTATCTCTGTGCATTGAAATTGGCAGCAATAAAATGCAATTGTGTTCGTTGTCCGTAGCTTATGCCTGCCCATACCATAACCCCACCGCCACCATGGGGCACTCTGTTCACAACGTTGACGCTCGCCCACACGACGCCATACACGCTGTCTGCCATCTGCCCGGTACAGTTGAAACCGGGACTCATTCGTGAAGAGCACAATTCTCCAGCTTACCAGTGTCCATCGAAGATGAGTGTTTGCCCACTGAAGACGGTTACGACGCCGAACTGCAGTCAGGTCAAGACCCTGGTGAGGATGACGAGCACGCAGATGAGCTTCCCTGAGACGGTTTCTGACAGTTTGTGCAGAAATTCTTCAGTTGTGCAAACCCACAGTTTCATCAGCTGTCTGGGTGGCTGGTCTCAGACGATCCCGCAGGTGAAGAAGCCGGATGTGGAGGTCCTGGGCTGGTCGGTTGGACATACTGCCAAATTCTCTAAAACGTTGGAGGCGTAGAGAAATGAACATTAAATTCTCTGGCAACAGCTCTGGTGGACATTCCTGCAGTCAGCATGCCAATTGCACCCTCCCTCAATACTTGAGACATCTGTGGCATTGTATTGTGTGACAAAACTGCACATTTTAGAGTGGCCTTTTTATTGTCCCCAGCACAAGGTGCACCTGTGTAATGATGATGTTGTTTAATCAGCTTCTTGATATGACACACCTGTCAGGTGGATGCATTATCTTGGCATGGAGAAATGCTCACTAACGGGACGTAAATAAATTTGTGCACAACATTTTAGAGAAATAAGCTTTTTGTGCGTATGGAACATTTCTGGAATATTTTATTTCAGCTCATGAAACATGGGACCAACACTTTATACGTTGCGTTTATATTTTGGTTCAGTGTACATCGCTAAGCAAGCCAGATTGACTAGTGTATGGAGTAACGTTAGCTAACGCTAGCTAACGTATTATACAGGTTGGTGTTGGACTATTTCCTTGACTAGCTAGCTGTGCTTTGTGGAAGGATGTGGGCTCGCTATTTTGTCAACATTGAGTTGCATGAACCGTCCATACAGCAAAGCAAACGTTACAGCCTTGTTGGCTTATCGCCCCTACAATAACCTATGCCAACCGCATAATGAAACCATCGCCCAGGAAAATACACAACAACACCAAGAGGATCGGTACTGCTCTGTGTGTGTGTGTGTGTGTGTGTGTGTGTGTGTGTGTGTGTGTGTGTGCGAGCTAGTGTCCTGTCCTTCACCTTTAGAGCTCTGTGATGTGTGATCTTTGTTTAACAGGAGTCTAACAATCAGCATACTTAACTGTAGTGTATTATTAGCTACAGTACCTTGATCTTCAGCTGGTTCTCCTGGTCCTTGGCCTTCTCCTGCTCCAGTCTCCTGGTGAGCTCCTCCCTGGGGCCTAGCTCCTGCTGTTCCGCCAGACGCCTCAGACGACCCAGGGACGACTGGCTACGCTGCAGCTGCTCCTGGAGGGACGATGGAGGACAGACAGGGAGACAGGCAGACAGATAGACAGGCAGGCAGGCAGGCAGGCAGACAGACAGGCAGACAGCCAGGCAGATAGACAGGCAGGCAGGCAGGCAGGCAGATAGACAGGCAGGCAGACAAGCAGACAGTCAGACAGGCAGACAGATAGACAGGCAGTCAGACAGGCAGACAGATAGACAGACAGATAGACAGGCAGACAGGCAGGCAGGCAGACAGGCAGGCAGACAGGCACCTCTGGTCAGCTCACACTTAAACCTATTTTATTTATTTTCACTCTTCTACAAAAAGCAAACACTTTCTGTATTTAGATCTGGCCAGTATGAGCCCTCTGGCATTCCGTACCTGTGTGTCTTTGAGTCGCCTCTCAGCGTCCCGCTCCCTCTCCTGTGTCCGCCGTAGACGTTCCCGCAGAGCTGTGGTCTCGTTGGCGTGGCGCGACAGCAGCTGGGCGATCTCGCTCTCTGTGTCGTCGTAACGCTGCAGCGCCCTCTCCTGGCGGTGCTGGAGCTTTAGGAATCACACACACACGGACGGGCGCATTATGATAGAGGACTGGAATCACACACACACGGACGGGCTCATTATGATAGAGGACTGGAATCACACACACACGGACGGGCGCATTATGATAGAGGACTGGAATCACACACACACGGACGGGCTCATTATGATAGAGGACTGGAATCACACACACACGGACGGGCGCATTATGATAGAGGACTGGAATCACACACACATGGACGGGCTCATTATGATAGAGGACTGGAATCACACACACGGACGGGCTCATTATGATAGAGGACTGGAATCACACACACACGGACGGGCTCATTATGATAGAGGACTGGAATCACACACACGGACGGGCTCATTATGATAGAGGACTGGAATCACACACACGGACGGGCTCATTATGATAGAGGACTGGAATCACACACACACGGACGGGCTCATTATGATAGAGGACTGGAATCACACACACACGGACGGGCGCATTATGATAGAGGACTGGAATCACACACACATGGACGGGCTCATTATGATAGAGGACTGGAATCACACACACACGGACGGGCTCATTATGATAGAGGACTGGAATCACACACACACGGACGGGCTCATTATGATAGAGGACTGGAATCACACACACGGACGGGCTCATTATGATAGAGGACTGGAATCACACACACGGACGGGCTCATTATGATAGAGGACTGGAATCACACACACACGGACGGGCTCATTATGATAGAGGACTGGAATCACACACACGGACGGGCTCATTATGATAGAGGACTGGAATCACACACACGGACGGGCTCATTATGATAGAGGACTGGAATCACACACACACGGATGGGCTCATTATGATAGAGGACTGGAATCACACACACGGACGGGCTCATTATGATAGAGGACTGGAATCACACACACACGGACGGGCGCATTATGATAGAGGACTAGAATCACACACACACGGACGGGCTCATTATGATAGAGGACTGGAATCACACACACACGGACGGGCTCATTATGATAGAGGACTGGAATCACACACACACGGACGGGCTCATTATGATAGAGGACTGGAATCACACACACACGGACGGGCTCATTATGATAGAGGACTGGAATCACACACACACGGACGGGCTCATTATGATAGAGGACTGGAATCACACACACGGACGGGCTCATTATGATAGAGGACTGGAATCACACACACGGACGGGCTCATTATGATAGAGGACTGGAATCACACACACACGGACGGGCTCATTATGATAGAGGACTGGAATCACACGGACGGACGGGCTCATTATGATAGAGGACTGGAATCACACACACGGACGGGCTCATTATGATAGAGGACTGGAATCACACACACACGGACGGGCTCATTATGATAGAGGACTGGAATCACACACACGGACGGGCTCATTATGATAGAGGACTGGAATCACACACACACGGACGGGCGCATTATGATAGAGGACTGGAATCACACACACACGGACGGGCTCATTATGATAGAGGACTGGAATCACACACACACGGACGGGCTCATTATGATAGAGGACTGGAATCACACACACACGGACGGGCTCATTATGATAGAGGACTGGAATCACACACACACGGACGGGCTCATTATGATAGAGGACTGGAATCACACACACACAGACGGGCTCATTATGATAGAGGACTGGAATCACACACACACGGACGGGCTCATTATGATAGAGGACTGGAATCACACACACGGACGGTCTCATTATGATAGAGGACTGGAATCACACACACGGACGGGCTCATTATGATAGAGGACTGGAATCACACACACACGGACGGGCTCATTATGATAGAGGACTGGAATCACACACACACGGACGGGCTCATTATGATAGAGGACTGGAATCACACACACGGACGGGCTCATTATGATAGAGGACTGGAATCACACACACACGGACGGGCTCATTATGATAGAGGACTGGAATCACACACACACGGACGGGCTCATTATGATAGAGGACTGGAATCACACACACACGGACGGGCTCATTATGATAGAGGACTGGAATCACACACACACGGACGGGCTCATTATGATAGAGGACTGGAATCACACACACACGGACGGGCTCATTATGATAGAGGACTGGAATCACACACACACGGACGGGCTCATTATGATAGAGGACTGGAATCACACACACACGGACGGGCTCATTATGATAGAGGACTGGAATCACACACACACGGACGGGCTCATTATGATAGAGGACTGGAATCACACACACACGGACGGGCGCTTTATGATAGAGGACTGGAATCACACACACGGACGGGCTCATTATGATAGAGGACTGGAATCACACACACGGACGGGCTCATTATGATAGAGGACTGGAATCACACACACGGACGGGCTCATTATGATAGAGGACTGGAATCACACACACACGGACGGGCTCATTATGATAGAGGACTGGAATCACACACACACGGACGGGCTCATTATGATAGAGGACTGGAATCACACACACACGGACGGGCTCATTATGATAGAGGACTGGAATCACACACACACGGACGGGCGCATTATGATAGAGGACTGATCTTTGTATCTGTGCCATTATGGAACCTGTGACAGCACGGACAGCACCATTGAGGCCATCTCCATTTCAAAGTGTGGCCACTAGATGGCAGTGATATAGCTTAAAGCCATTTACAAATCATAGGCAACCCAATATGAAAAACACAATGCTCTGATCATTTGCTGATCGCACCCAACCAATAGGAAACCCTACCCAGTTGGTTACTTTAAAATGGTGGAAGCCCTTGGCAATGCCCATGCTAAAACGGGTTTTATCCATCTAGAGTCCTCTATCTATTTCTATGGACAGGCTTTATTAAAGTAACTGTCCAATGAGAATTACATTGGAGGGACGCAGGGCGACTAAGTACCATCGCTTCTACGTGATTTAGAGTTAGAAAAACCTGGGAATTGTTTTAAAGTTACTGGAATTGAAAAGCTCAACCCTACTCAGAACATTAGACAATACCTGTCTGGGGTCAGGGTTAGGGTCATGTTTCGGGTTAGTTAGGTTACCTGTCTGAGGACAGGGTTAGGGGTTTGGGTTAGTTAGGTTACCTGTCTGAGGGTCAGGGTTAGGGGTTTGGGTTAGTTAGGTTACCTGTCTGAGGGTCAGGGTTAGGGGTTTGGATTAGTTAGGTTACCTGTCTGAGGGTCAGGGTTAGGGGTTTGGATTAGTTAGGTTACCTGTCTGAGGGTCAGGGTTAGGGGTTTGGGTTAGTTAGGTTACCTGTCTGAGGGTCAGGGTTAGGGGTTTGGGTTAGTTAGGTTACCTGTCTGAGGGTCAGGGTTAGGGGTTTGGGTTAGTTAGGTTACCTGTCTGAGGGTCAGGGTTAGGGGTTTGGGTTAGTTAGGTTACCTGTCTGAGGGTCAGGGTCAGGGTTAGTTAGGTTACCTGTCTGAGGGTCAGGGTCAGGGGTCAGGGTTAGTTAGGTTACCTGTCTGAGGGTCAGGGTTAGGGGTCAGGGTTAGTTAGGTTACCTGTCTGAGGTTCAGGGTTAGGGGTTTGGGTTAGTTAGGTTACCTGTCTGAGGGTCAGGGTCAGGGGTCAGGGTTAGTTAGGTTACCTGTCTGAGGGTCTGGGTTAGGGGTCAGGGTTAGTTAGGTTACCTGTCTGAGGGTCAGGGTTAGGGGTCAGGGTTAGTTAGGTTACCTGTCTGAGGGTCAGGGTTAGGGTTATTTAGGTTACCTGTCTGAGGGTCAGGGTCAGGGGTCAGGGGTCAGGGTTAGTTAGGTTACCTGTCTGAGGACGCGGTTCTCCTTGGTGAGTAGGTCGGTGTGGAGCTGTAGCTCTGCCAGGGCGTTGCGTAGCTCATTAATCTTCAGCAGGCGGGCCGACAGCATGCGCTTGGTCACCAGGTCAAGATCTTTAGGGGGCGCCGTGGAGTCCTTGATCAGGCTCTGGGACCCGGTCCTTACCCCCCAACGCTGAGGTCGCTGGGGCTGGGCACCCACACGGGGAGGGCGAGACACACCCCGACGCACGCCTGGGGGACACACACGACAAAGGACAACGGTCTCATGAAACTATGCATCACTCCCTACGTAAAGGACGTCACGCTGCTTGCTTAGCCAGTACCACTTCCTCCTGATTCAGCACATAGCTGGATCCAACCCGGGCCATCTGCTTTACAAACACACGACTGTCCTCCCTCAAGCGTCTCTACAGGTCGCGCCACTCAAAAGCTAGCTCTTAAATGTGTTACACCTACATAACAACTAGGACATCTCTATGTGTTACACCTACATAACAACTAGGACATCTCTATGTGTTACACCTACATAACAACTAGGACATCTCTATGTGTTACACCTACATAACAACTAGGACATCTCTATGTGTTACACCTACATAACAACTAGGACATCTCTATGTGTTACACCTTCATAACAACTAGGACATCTCTATGTGTTACACCTACATAACAACTAGGACATCTCTATGTGTTACACCTACATAACAACTAGGACATCTCTATGTGTTACACCTACATAACAACTAGGACATCTCTATGTGTTACACCTACATAACAACTAGGACATCTCTATGTGTTACACCTACATAACAACTAGGACATCTCTATGTGTTACACCTACATAACAACTAGGACATCTCTATGTGTTACACCTACATCACAACTAGGACATCTCTATGTGTTACACCTACATAACAACTAGGACATCTCTATGTGTTACACCTACATCACAACTAGGACATCTCTATGTGTTACACCTACATAACAACTAGGACATCTCTATGTGTTACACCTACATAACAACTAGGACATCTCTATGTGTTACACCTACATAACAACTAGGACATCTCTATGTGTTACACCTACATAACAACTAGGACATCTCTATGTGTTACACCTACATAACAACTAGGACATCTCTATGTGTTACACCTACATCACAACTAGGACATCTCTATGTGTTACACCTACATAACAACTAGGACATCTCTATGTGTTACACCTACATCACAACTAGGACATCTCTATGTGTTACACCTACATAACAACTAGGACATCTCTATGTGTTACACCTACATAACAACTAGGACATCTCTATGTGTTACACCTACATAACAACTAGGACATCTCTATGTGTTACACCTACATAACAACTAGGACATCTCTATGTGTTACACCACACGGGTGTGTGTGGGTGTGTGTGTGTGTGTGTGTGTGTGTGTGTGTGTGTGTGTGTGTGTGTGTGTGTGTGTGTGTACGGTACCTGTTTTGTGTAGGGGACTGCTGGAGACCCTCTTGGCGCGGGGTCCCGCTCGGCGAGGGCTCGGGGAGGGCGTGCGGGAGTAGGGAGACAGCGTGTGTTCTGAGGGTGTTAGGTTCTCGTAGTCCTCCGAGTAGAATGAGCTGCTCCTCCTGCGCTCTCCGTCTGACATGCGGTCCCGGTCCGGATCCAGTTCCAGTGTCTTACCCTGGTCCCCAGCACAGCTGTCCCTCTCATACCTTTCTCCGTCCCGACTCTTGTCCCGTTTCAGAGTTCGGACCGACGCCTCGGAATCTTTCCCAGCCGTGCTCCTGCGGGACTGGCGACTCTGGCGTTCTGCATCTCGGTTGTCCTCGTAAGGGTGGGGAATTTTCTCTGTATCCATGCTGTCCCTCTGACAGGAGATTCTGCATGGACGGATACACAGAAGAAGTCATCAGATGATTCAGATGAGTCATATTGTATCACTGACTGTGTAGCTATCTACCAGTCAATAACATATTACACTGTATCCCTGACTGTAGCTATCTACCAGTCAATAACATATTACACTGTATCACTGACTGTAGCTATCTACCAGTCAATAACATATTACACTGTATCACTGACTGTGTAGCTACCTACCAGTCAATAACATATGACACTGTATCACTGACTGTGTAGCTATCTACCAGTCAATAACATATTACACTGTATCACTGACTGTAGCTATCTACCAGTCAATAACATATTACACTGTATCACTGACTGTAGCTATCTACCAGTCAATAACATATTACACTGTATCACTGACTGTATCTATCTACCAGTCAATAACATATTACACTGTATCCCTGACTGTAGCTATCTACCAGTCAATAACATATTACACTGTATCACTGACTGTAGCTATCTACCAGTCAATAACATATTACACTGTAACACTGACTGTAGCTATCTACCAGTCAATAACATATTACACTGTATCACTGACTGTAGCTATCTACCAGTCAATAACATATTACACTGTATCACTGACTGTAGCTATCTACCAGTCAATAACATTGATATAACCTAGTGTGTATCCAAAATGCCACCGTCTGCCCTATATAGTGCACTCATTTTGACCAGAGCCCTTTTTGACTCCGGTCAAAAGTAGCTAGTGAATAGGGTGCCATTTGTGACAGAGCCTTAACACATTATCTTAAGGCATAACATCCTAGCCTAGTCATTCTGTTGACTGCTTTAGCCATTTTGTCATTGTATTTCACAATAATGCAATTCAATAGGCCAATGTTTTTGGACAGGTCTGAGAAGCTTTCACATCTGACTGGAAATATAACCAAATGTGATTCAGTTCAACATCCTTAGTTACAACATCCTTAGTTACAACATCCTTAGTTACAACACCCATATTACTAAAGTTAGACAACAGAAATATCAAACATATTAGCCTCAAGAATAGGAGTTAGGAAACGTCATGTCCGTGGTTGGTCGGTTGCATCCCAATTGCCACCCTATTCCCTATAGCCTGTAGTGCACTACGTTTAACCCATAGTGCTCTGGCTAAAGTAGTGCACTATGAAGGGAATAGGGTGAGTTTTGCTGCATTGTGCGCCTTGGTCACTAAGAAACAGAGGTACTACAGAGTTGAAATGTCCATGAGGTGATGAGGATGGTGTACTGTAGGGCTGGGAATTGCCAGGGACCTCGCGATACAATATTATCGCGATTATTCTCACGATTCTCACGATTCTATATGTATTGAGATTCGATACTGTGATTTTATTTTTGATTCGATGTTCCAAACACATTGCTCACCATATGTCTGCTGCAGAGGCACAAGAGAGAGCCATCAGAAAACGAGCGCTGAAAATAAACTGGCTCCTTATTTAAACAGAAGATGGAGAACAGGCTATGAAGGAACAATACTGGAGTTCTGCTGCAGGTAGAGCCAACTAGCGCAAAGATAATATCCCGATATGTAACTATCGATTCCCCCCCCCCCCCCCATCACTAATTTCCTATATAGTGCACTACAAAGGTCAAAGGTAGTGCCATTTGGGACACGGAACACTATAAAGGTCAAAGGTAGTGCAATTTGGGACAGAACCTATGGTATGGTTATCTTTAAGAGCCATCCACACTAAGGACGATAACTATAGCGATAACTATAGCGATAACTATAGCGATAACTATAGCGATAACTATAGTTAAACTGCTCTTACTACTCAGGAGGATGTCCTTCTTCAGGACATGCCAGATAGCCTTGTACAGTCTGTTAGCGACAGAGGCTAGTCTGTTAGCGACAGAGGCTAGTCTGTTAGCGACAGAGGCTAGTCTGTAAGCGACAGAGGCTAGTCTGTTAGCGACAGAGGCTAGTCTGTTAGCGACAGAGGCTAGTCTGTTAGCGACAGAGGCTAGTCTGTTAGCGACAGAGGCTAGTCTGTTAGCGACAGAGGCTAGTCTGTAAGCGACAGAGGCTAGTCTGTTAGCGACAGAGGCTAGTCTGTTAGCGACAGAGGCTAGTCTGTTAGCGACAGAGGCTAGTCTGTTAGCGACAGAGGCTAGTCTGTTAGCGACAGAGGCTAGTCTGTAAGCGACAGAGGCTAGTCTGTTAGCGACAGAGGCTAGTCTGTTAGCGACAGAGGCTAGTCTGTAAGCGACAGAGGCTAGTCTGTTAGCGACAGAGGCTAGTCTGTTAGCGACAGAGGCTAGTCTGTTAGCGACAGAGGCTAGTCTGTTAGCGACAGAGGCTAGTCTGTTAGCGACAGAGGCTAGTCTGTAAGCGACAGAGGCTAGTCTGTTAGCGACAGAGGCTAGTCTGTTAGCGACAGAGGCTAGTCTGTTAGCGACAGAGGCTAGTCTGTTAGCGACAGAGGCTATTCTGTTAGCGACAGGCCACTTGTAGCGAGGGAGTAAGGGGAGAAGGGGCAGCTAACGTTAATCAGCCCAAAACAACTGTCTCCCACCTGGACTACCTTAATAACATCACTTTACAGTCATTGACACCCCATGACTTTTTCCACATTTTGTTGTGTCACTAGCCTACACACAATACCCCATAATGTCAAAGTGGAATTATGTTTTTAGAAATTTTTTACAAATTAATTAAAAATGAAAAGCTGAAATGTCTTGGGTCAATAAGTATTCAACCCGTTGTTATGGCAAGCCGAAATAAGTTCAGGAGTAAAAATTGGCTTAACAAGTCACATAATACTAACTGTAAGTCGCTCTGGATAAGAGCGTCTGCTAAATGACTAAAATGTAAATCTAAATGTATAATAAGTTGCATGGAGTCACTCTGTGTGCAATAATAGTGTTTAACATGATTTTTGAATGACTACCTCATCTCTGTACCCCACACATATAATTATCTGTAAGGTCCCTCAGTCGAGCAGTGAATTTCAAACGCAGGTTCAACCACAAAGACCAGGGAGGTTTTCCAACGCCTCGCAAAGAAGGCCACCTATTGGTAGATGGATAAAAATAAGGCACTAAAGTAAAACTTTATGTCCTGAATACAAAGTGTTATGTTTTTAGGCTAATTCAACACGACATATCATCCGAGTACCACTCTTCATATTTTCAAGCATGGTGGTGGCTGCATCATGTTATGGGTATGCTTGTCATCAACAAGGACTAGGGAGTTTTTTTAGGATTAAATAAACGGAATAGAGGTAAGCACAGGCAAAATCCTAGAGGAAAACCTGGTTCAGTCTGCTTTCCAACAGACACCAGGAGACAAATTCACCTTTCAGCAGGACAATAACCTGAAACACAAGGCCAAATATACACTGGCGTTGGTTACCAAGACGACTTTGAATGTTCCTGAGTGGTTACAGTTTTGACTTAAATCGGCTTATAAATCTATGGCAAGACTTTAAAATGTCTGTCTAGCAATGATCAACAACCGACTTAACAGAGCTTGAAGAATTAAAAAAATAATAATGTGCAAATATTGTATAATCCAGGTGTGCAAAGCTCTTAAAGACTTACCCAGAAAGAATCACAGCTGTAATGGCTGCCAAAGGTGATTCTAACATGTATTGACTCAGGGGTGTGAATCCTTATGTAAATGAGCTATTTCTGTATTTCATTCTGAATAAATTTGCACAATTTCTAAAACCATGTTTTCACAGTCATGATGGGGTATTGTGTGTAAATGGTTGAGAAAATATATATATTTAATCCATTTATAATTCAGGCTGTAACACAACAAAATGTGGAATAAGTGAAGGCACTGTTTGTCATCCACCCACCACAACACGCAACCACCTGCTCAGTTTAAAAATAGAATATCAGTTAGCTATTATTAGTCTTAGTTCGAATCCCTTGAGTTGGATGTCATCTGGACATGCCCGCCTTCGTGGAAGATCACTGTCCAGGCCCACATGAACTATCATCAATTACTGAATCCTTGTTTTTTGTTTTGTTTTAAAAATGCCTTTGACATTCTTCATTTAATGAAAAACAAAAATGCCTTTGACATTCTTCATTTAATGAAAAACGCTACATAAAATAAATATATTATTATTATTATTAGTTTAGCTACAGCAAATTCATGGTTTCGGGAGAGCAACAAGGCAGGGTTAGGTAAATAAGAATGAACTGAAAACACTACATTGCCAGGGGTGTATTCATTAAGCCGATTCTGTTGCAAAACGTTTCGTCTGTTGCAAACGGAAAACGTTTTGCAACAAAACATAGTGTTTCTATTGGACAAATTCAGGTAGGTCCCTCCCCGTTTGGTTCTGTTTACTTCCGTTTGGGTCTTAAACAGTAAACGGTTTCCGTTGCAAGACGTAATCCCCAGCTAGCTATAGCTAGCCTCATCCATCATTGTAAACAAGCAACATGTGGCTAACGTTAGCTAGCTGCTACATCACCAGATGATCAACATTTATTTGAGTCGATTTGCTATTTGTTTAGGTTAAACGTTAAATTAAAGTTTGGAAAGAGGCATTATCAACCCACCTCGTTCAGATTACCTTGGCGTCACGTCTCCATGAATTCTTCCTTTCGCGTAATGGTCTCTGTCTTGTCAACTGGGTACCTAGCTAGTCTAGATTTCTAGCTATTTGTCTAAGCTAGCTAGCTAGACCCGGTCGTTAGCTCTGAATAGCTAACGTTAGTTAGAACGCGTTAGCTAAATTAGCAGCCGAGCTAACGTTAGCTAACAACAACAAAGCCTGCAACCCTAGTAACATTTTACCCTGCATTTATGCCAGAATATGTCCATGGCTCTCTAGCTAGTTATTTAGGATATGGGTAATTTATTGCCCTCTAATTGCTAGGGATAGGCACCCACCGCCAGCTACATAGCAGACTCCACGCCTAGCCCTTGGTCGGTCTGCTCTGGTCACTGTGACGCGGTGCCATGGCAACCCCCGTTCCACTTTATGC